ATGAATTTTAAGTGATAAAAGTGAAGTGTGCCTAAAATTATTTTATATAATCAATTGTTTAACTCTAAAAAGTTTATTGTTGCACTTTGGAGAAACAGCAATCAGTAAATTGATGATAGTTTGAATTCTTCACAAAATCTGATGTACATTAATAATTCTTCTAGACTGGATCTCACATGAGAATTCATTAAAAATGAAATTTAAGAATCTTAAGATTAAAATTATTTGATGAATTTCATAAATTTTATTTGAAATTACCTGTAGCACAAATGTAAGATTCTATTTATTCTATGATGAAAAATACTGATTTTATTTAACCCATTTGCAAAATAGTGAAGTTAAATTACTTGAAATACATTTGTATTCCTTTGTCCTTTCAACTTTTCTTTGTGCAACATTACTATTTCATTTATGATGTCTTGGGGTGTTATTACACGTTACACATTTGAAAGTATGTATGGTTATATTAGCATAAATAACACAGTAGTCATGTAATAATTTTTTTTTATCAATTGCCATACAACAATTTTCTCCCTATTTAATGCTGTATTGGCATGCCATTTAGAGATGCATAAGTTGTGACAAATCTGGTATGGCAAGTATTTTATAGATCTTAATCACAGAGGGCTGAGTGCAACTCAAATAAATGGCTGGTTGGTTGGTTAAATTTTTACAGCACACCAGCACAAAGAGGCCATTTAGCACGATACAAAAGGTTATATCCTTATTATGTACCAATGGTAAAACGGTTCTGTATCGGCCAGCGATACAAAACCAAATAGCTAAAGGTAAAATGATATAAATGGTAATGGCGATACAAAATAAACTTTCCCGATCAACGGTAATTGTAAATAATGTATGACAATGAAAACATATGAAAGGTAATTAAAATCAAGTGACTGTACATATATAATGCATATAAATGTTTAAGATGATAACATAAAAGTTATAACTTATGATATATGTTTACTTCCTTAAGGAAGTCTATAACATAAGAAATACTAACTGTATCAAAGAGCTCCCTCATGTCTTGCACATTGTAATATTGATTATGTGTAAATTGGAGGTCGAAACACTCCAGCATAAAGTGCAACTCAAATAAATTGTTTAAGTACTGAGTGGGACTATCAACAGGCAAAGACATTTTCAATAATGACCAAGATTATTACATGATAAATAAAATATGAAAATATCCAAGTATTTTAAGCACAATTATCAACAGTCTTTAAACAAAGGGTTATATTTATTAATAGTCAATTAAGCTATTTAAACTTGTCCCGGGAATAACCATAAACCATCAGATTTATACAAAAAGATAAAACTATTATACTTCTGTTTGAAGGGCAATGGATCACACTGATAAATGGCTTTTTCAGTATGGAGAGCAGGATTTTGCAACTTTAAGGTCTAATGATATCAGGGTAACACAAGGAAAAGTCCAGAGATTTACCTTTCTAGGATCACAAACTCCAAAATTTTCTGAGCACAATTAAAATTACAATGTAAAAAGTCTGATATGATACAGTATTTTAAATCAGGTCAAACGATTATGCATCCCTACAACACTTCAGTTACATAATGAGAGTCCAATGGATGTAATAATGGGCCCTCTTGTGGAAAAGACAAGAATATTTTTTAAAAAAGTCTCTTAACAGTCCCAAAATATTTAATAAAGCTCCTCTAAGAAACTTCAGTAAGATATGCAGGTTTTCTGCTTTTGAAAAAAAAACTATTTCAGGGAAAACCCTATTCCTGAAAAACACCTATTTCGGGGAAAACCCTGTTTGATTCTTTTATTTTCAATGAAATTAAGCATACAAATAAAACAATCTAATTCAAGAAAATTCATAAGTTCCAGCATTCTAACATTTCCTCAAGGACAATTTTGAAGAATGTAAGAAATTTAATACATTAGGCTGTCAAAGTTGTGCTCAAAAGGTTTCAGGAATACAGGTCCAGGTACAGCAGCACATAAAAGATTATGGGGCAAAAAAGGAAGGAAAAAGTTGGGATTCTGACAGAAGATTCATACAATGCTGTGACCAGTAAGATGAAGAACCTGCAGCATTGAGAATGAAATCAGTGCTTTTGAAGACAAGTGCTGGTGCATAACATAGTGATGGTGGTGCTTGTTGGGTGTTTAGTTATAAAATGCAGCTCAGTGAACTAAATCATGCCAGGTTGTGTTTCCCTGTACATACAAAAGTTGTGGACTATATGGTACCATATAGGGTTATAAGTGAACTAAATTTAGCTTTGGCAGTTTTAACTAAATATGTATTTTTCACAAGGATGAATTTTAGAAATGTAAAATAAAAACTTTTTAAACATAAAAAATTACAGTGAAACCTGTCTTGAATGACCACCTTTTCTACCAAAAAAATAATGGTCTGTCAAGACAGTTGGTCTCTAATAGCAGATTCTAATAATATATAATTAATAAATATGTGTCCTAAGAATCTGGTTTCTCTGGACAGTAGGTTTCTAAAAGCAGTTGTTTTTCAATTAAGGCTTTACTTTTTCTAAGATTTTTAACAAGATTTTCTATTTTTGCCAAAATTGACAAGTATTTAATGTCATAATATTAATTATTGCAATTTCTAACTCAATATAAAAGTGTAAATACAGGCAATTAGTTCAGTATTCAAGTGAAAAGTTTAATTTGATGTTACCAATTGGAAAGTAATATGACTTATCAGAAACAATATGTGCAATTAACTTCATCAAAGATGGATAATGACAGGAAGAAATATTCAGTTTGAGCTAAATATCTTTCAATTTCTCTACAATAATGATTTCATTTAAATTTAGATAACAAATGGATGGAGCAGTAAATGTATCAATCAAACCGCTGAGATTCTAGTATCTTGCAATAGTGTACCCAACTTTTCAATCACTCAAATGCAGTGATTTGTTCACAAATTCCTAATTATACAGTAGCATTCCATCTATCCTCAATTATAAGTCAAGTCCAACTGCAAAAAATATAGATCCCGATCTGTTGGATCATAATGCGCATGTAGATCAGGGTCTATATTGTTTGTTTGACTGATTACTCTTAACAAACTGCCCAGACCCAGATCTGCTGTGAATTATGCACTGGCAGACCTGTATCTGTGCAGTTTGTAGTTGGACTCATCTTGTAAGTGAGTGCATGCAGTACATTAGGCTGTACTCAAGTCATTTGTAATCTGACCACCGTTTTCTGGAAATAAAAACCTTAGTGCTTTGCTAAAATTACTGAGCATTTGGCATGCTATCTAGATTTTGAAATCAATTCATTACAGGAGAGAAATGTTAAGTATTTGCTTCTAACTGAGCCAATATGTCTGAATTTTCTGTGTCACTGTCAGATATTTTTCTGTGGTTTTGCCAATAATTTACAAAGTGCTTCCTCATTATCATTTAAGAATAAGATGACCAGAATTTTAAGTCATATAATAAAATAATTGACTTTGGATTTCAGTTGCTAAAAGGATTTATCAAACCCAGATTTTTTTTATATACTATTGCCTCCAGCCTCTGGAGTAGTTATTCTGGGGTTGATAAATCCTTGTAGCAAATAACGGGTCTTGCTGCATGCAGTTAGGTGCTTATTATATATGAATAAACAGGGTAACCCAGCCACAAATACTGAACTACAACAAATCTGAATGATTAATATAGACATAGTTTAACTTATCTCTCAATCTACATACATTTTTCTTCTCACCAAATAAATAAGTCATTGGCTTTTAAGGTCTGTACAGACCAATAATCAGTTTTATCATATCAATATACAACATTTATTGGTTTCTCATTTAAGGTGATAAATCTTATACATTTGAAGAACATGCCTTTACTTGGCCCCCTTTCTAACACAGAAAAAATTGATGAAAAACTAATTTGCAAGTTACTTTGTGCTTCAGAGTTTTAATAAATGTAAAGATGGAAAATAACAATATCATCCATAATCAACAACAAAAATAAATAACAAATTGGAATTCTGTCTAAGCATTTTTCAATTGGGTTGACCCAGTATTAAAATCTAATGAAACTTGTAACCTGAAGCAAAAGACATGAATACAGTTCATGACAGCCAACCCTATATGACAGACAAATGTGACAATCTGGAGGAGAAACAATTTTGGGATCTAATGGAAAAATGGGAGTGAAAAATAACAACAGGTCATGGATGTCAGCAGGGTTCATAATTATTATATTATCTTACCCATTGTACTAGTCCTGACTGTCAGTAAAATAGACAATTGAATTAACTAGAGCCGATTTATTTCTAAAAGTATGAATAAACAGCAAAGTAATGCAGCATTTCTAATGATTCATCAATTAATATGATAGTTCATTATATGTACATACATCTACATGTATTTACCTGTATTATTTACAAGTCAAAAAATTTAAATAAAATAAACATATGTAGAGAAAAGTTCAAGATTATCTCAAACTTCAAAAAATATGTACTTGATTCAAATACATAAAAAACAATTCTAAATAGAGATCCACATTTTGTCTAGCTCCTTTTATTTATCTAGAAAGTAAATAAATTTAACACTGTATATAATCTAAATATCTGTAACATAGACCTTAATCAATGGTGTGGATGGACATATCAATGGACAAACATGCACATAGATGTCAAAGTGATCTCCTTGGTGAGCTTCCACCAAGGTGGGCTTGACAAAAATAAGTGTTTTGTGGATTCAGGTGTCTCATCTATCCCCCTTCCCCTTTCCATATCTGGCCTTTAAAAACTCTGTGTGTGTGTGTGTGTGTGTGTGTGTGTGTGTGTGTGTGAGTGATTTAGATTTTTAACATAGATTTAAAAATTTTCAGTCATATTGCTATGATGTCTGCAGTGTGACAGTTTATAGTGGTGTCTCACACGGGGGCATCATGCCTCAGATACATTATTTTGACACCTGGCCGACCAGTCCTAACACTAACCTCTTAACGCTGAGCAACAGGCAGCTGTTAGTACCATTTTTTAAAAGTTTTTGGTATGACTTGGACGGGGTTCAAACCCACGAACTCCCACATCCGAGACATACACTCTAACCACTAGGCCACCAGAGTGGTCCCCTTTAAAAACTAACATAAAACTTTAATGCTGATACCACCACTGGCATCATTTTCAAAAAAGTGACAACTGTATTACCATTCTTCTACAAGTAAGGAAAAAACTAGCTCTTTATTTATTAACCAAATGCAAAGTGTCAGCTGCTGTAAATGACTTCAATTTGTGAAAGCTACCATATATACTGGCTTATAAGTCATGTCCAAATGCAAGTTGCACGGACCCAGATCTGCCATCGCATAATGCAGTGGCAGATGTGGGCCTGTACAGTTTGTTAGCAGCAATCAGTGGAACAAGCAACACAAACCCTGATCTGCAGGTACATTTTGCTACAGCATAGCAGGATCTTTGTTGTTTGCCGTTTGACTTGACTTATAAGTGAGTGCATATGGTATGCATCTATAAGTAAAGGCATAGCGAATACCTTACAAAATTTAGTTATAAAATTAAATCATGAGAGAATGCAAACAGCTAACAAATATCAAGTAGATGACTGTACCGAATATGATGAATTAATGTGGTAATTATGTGAAATACCAAACAACAAATACCACATAAACTAATAAAATAAATGCAAAACTAAAGTTAAAAAGGATCAAAAAATGTAAAACAGGTGTCTAACAGTCTGAAGAACTGTCCTAAATTGAGTTATTAATGCATCTGGGATGCATCCTATTAGTTTCTGTCAATAATATAAACATTTTTTCACTTTTCAAATTTAGTTCTCTGAATATTTTCAATATTTTAAATTAAAAATAAGTTCACTTCTTTATCTAAAATTAAATTTAATCTTTATATATTGAATATGTAGATATATTTCTGAAAATAGCCTGATTGGAGTAAATGTTATCTTATTATGAATCAGTTATCATCAGCCATCATAGTGATGCCATATTATTGGAGTGATTTGTTTTGTTTCAGAAAGTGTAATTCCATTTATGTTTTAAACCTAATAATGTGTAGAAAACCTCATTTTAAGATGAACCATTGATCAAGAAATGACAATGCAACCTATGCCAATGGTTATCCAAATTTTCCTCAATAGATGCACCAAAGATGGTAGAATTAAGACAGAAATAAGTCTCTGTCTTCTTGGATTTTTCATAATAAGGCAAATTCTTATATTTTCCAAAAGTGTGCCAATTCTAAATTGAATTGGGCAAATTTGGCCTTCTTACATTAGAAATATGAATGATACAGAAGAATATATTTTTAAATATGACTGTGGCATCCTCAAAATGGGCAAATGGTTTTAGTGCAATTTGTGTAACTAAGCAATTTTTTTAGCATGTACAGCAGGATCTAAAAAATATTTATGAACTGCAGATTTTTTTTGATGATGTTCATGTGTGTCATGCATGTGTGGATGTTCATATACATGTCAATGATTGTCTTTTTTTGATAATGTTCATTGTGTCAAGCTTATGTTCTTTATGATGTCCATGTATTTCAAGCATGGTTTTTTGGGAGTTGATGTTCATGTATGTCAAGCATGTGTTTTATTTTATGATATTTGTTTGTGTCATGTGTTTTATTTTATGATATTTGTTTGTGTCAAGCATGTATTTTTTTTATATGATGTCCATTTATGTCAAGCATTGGTTCTTTTAGATGATGTTCATGTATGTATATTTTTGTGACTATACACTGATTAAGGCTTCATTGATTCAATTTAGCTTTTTCATGGTAATCGGCACAGGCTAAGCTTTGATATGCTAAACATAGTTCCAATACATCTGTCTAAATTTGCAATGTATTTGCTTTTCTTTGGGAAAAAAAAGCTTGATTCTCTGTTAGAACAGAGTCAGCAATATTTAACTGACAGTATTGTTATTTTAATGGTGGACAGTGCTTTGCTGACTCTACATGGTCTTGAAAGAAATCAGTGCCGACTAAAGCCTTTGGTAGGCTAAACTTAGTTCCAATGTCTAGGTAAATTTGCAATGCATTTACTTTTCCAAAATTAATTTTGTTTTTTGTAACAACTGATTGATCAATATATTTAATTGATAGTGTCTTGTTTTTAAAGCCAGATTGCATTTAATGTCTCAGCTGGTCTTTAGCAACTGCTAAAACATTATATGCTAAATATACCAGTATTCACTTTGCTTTGCCTAGGTAAATTTGCAATTTATTTACTTTCCTTTAGAAAATACACCTGGTTCTTTATTTTCTTTCTCATTCAGACGGAGTATATTAAAGTATCTATTGCTTACACCAGTGAGATTTAATGGTATATGACAGCAAGCACCCGATGTTTTAGCTTTTAATACACTATACCTCTCTAGCTATTTTAATTGCAATCCTGATTTTATGACCATATATAGCTTGTAAATGGTAGCTATGATACATCTTTGTGATAAGAGTATATTAACCTTTTATAATTTGTATTCTGTTATGTTTTCTTTTCTGCAGTAGATGTTAAGCTTGAAGACTATTGTTAATTACATGTATATTTATTGTATATTTATTTTAAAAACAGGTCATAAGGTAAACTAGGTATTAACTATGTCACCCTGGATAAATGAAAGATTATTATTATTATTATTATTATTATTATTATTATTATTGTTATTATTATTATTATTATTATTATTATTATTATTATTATTATTATTATTATTATTATTATTATTATTACTACATAGGTTATGAGCTACTAAGTACAAAATACAAAAAATAGAATATGTAGCTTTTAATATCAGGCTTATAAACTGAACAAAGAACATGAAAACAATTATTTTTAAAATCATAGTAATAACTTTTCATGGACAAAAATTGTATGGGAATGAAATCTCTTGTACACAGTTCTATTCATACAATGTAAATTACTGCCAGAAAAAAGTACATTTTTTCAGTCTATAGGAATGTAATATGGGCAAAAGTTCCTTCGGTGGAAGGATTTTTGAAGTTTCAAATTCCAAAAGATCACAAAATTTACCTCTGAAAGGCCCAGATGTGCTGATTATTCTGGACAATAAGTATTACCAAAAAGTGGATATTTTTATAATGAGACTTCACAATGTGATGTGAGAACAGAAATACACCTGCTTTTGTATACCACTTTATCCAAAATTGGCCTTTTTTTATGAATAAAAAAATATTCTCTATCCAGATACAAAATCTGTACCAGTAGCAACCAAGTTGCATGACTTTAGCACATAGGTTCTCTTTAGCACATAATTTCTTCAATTTGAACCAGCATGTAGTTTACCATGGGATTCCTGCAAACCCTGCCCTAAAAGCAACACTATGTTATTTATGGAACAGATGTAATTGTTTTACATCATTTATCTCTATTTTAATTATCAAATGTGTATATTTGTTTTAGCCACCAATGATATTTGAATGTAATAAATATAATTATTTGACTATTTGCCCTCAATGTGCATGTGTGAATTCAACATGTGCTTCCACCCATAGATTAAATAGCTTCACTATGTTTCAGATCTGCTTTTTAAATAAGCATGTTTACAGATCAGTGTTAATTGTTGATCTTTGAACTAACTTCAAAAGTGTCTAAAGGTTAAAAAAGCACAGAAGTAATTTAAATTTCGAAATCTATGCTTTCTGAGAATTAAAATAAAAACTGACTGCTAACAGAAACTGGTAGGATACCAACCAGTATATATATATATATATATATATATATATATATATATATATATATATATATATATATATATATATATATATATATATATATATATATATATACTAAATCGTTACTTGTAACTTGAAATTTTAGATGTTCATCAGCAAAGAAAATGTTTGTTGGCAAGTTATGTCCCATAATTATTTAACTGGATATATTTCAGCACTATCCAAAGAGCTTGCTGTTTATAACATTTGATTACAAAAATCAAAACAATCGGCGATCTAGAAAAGTTGAAAATAGGTTTTCATCCCGGTTGCTAAGGAAGCCATAATATTATAAGGGTAGCCACCCTCAACACACATTTAATATAGTATGTCATAAGAGACATTCATACCAAGTTTTATCAAACAGGTTTAGCCATTCTGGAGTATAAGAATAAATTAAATGTTCCATATATTTGCTAAGGAAACCACACTGTTGTTGCTAATGAAGCCATCCTTGAAATTTCTCTTTTTTAGAATATGTTCTAAAGATTCCAAAACTGGCTCAGCTGCTCCAGAGAAAAAGTCAAAAATAGGTTCCCAATCCAACTGCTTAGGAATCCACACCATCACTAAGGGAGCCACATCAAACAAAATTTTTATAGATCCACATCCTATGAAACAATCCAAGTTGCTTAACGGAACTGCCCAGAAAACAATTTTTTACAGAGCATGTACTGAGAAAGATTTCTAGCAAATTTGATTCCAACAGGCAAATTTAGTTTTTTAAAGTTGAAAATAACAATGCTGATGAATGATAGATGATGGATAAAAAAAAAACTACTAAAGAGACACCACAATAAAACCACCAGTCCATAAACAAACCACATATTATGTATGAGTCATCACCATCTAGAAACCAACTTGTCTGTCAGATCAACCACATATTATGTACGAGTCATCACCATCTAGAAACCAACTTGTCTATCAGATCAACCCCAGGATTTAGTTACTCATACCAGTGGGCAGAGCATAACGGATAGATCATAACAATCATGTTACACTGTGTCATAACACTTAGCAACATCCACAATAACAATGTCAATGAGTTGCATTATGTCTGCTTAGTTCTAACACCTAGCAATATCCACAATTACAATGTCAATGAGTTATGTAATGTCTTTTAAGTTATGTGCAATAGCCAGCAACATCAGCTATAACAATTCAGTGAGTTATGTAATTTCTGACCTGAAAATCCATATTTTCTTTCATTAGTTCTCTCAGGGGTAAGGGGTTTGTTGACACTTGCCAGTAAAATAGTGTAACCATGTTGCATTTCCACCATAGAGTTCATTACTCATAAGGCCATCCTTAAGTTTTGAAATGGTACTAAATATCTGAACTTTGCTGTCATGTGAAAGTAC